TTCAGCCATTACAATTTTCCTTACATTTCTACAGTTTTAAATAAATTAATCACATTCAATTAGACTTAGTCCTCAGTAGTGACTTACAAAATGATATTGAGAAATTTGTGATTTTGATATTATACTTGAATTTATTATAGACAATAATTCATTTGAATATTCTAACTATATTTTATTTTAAAAGTTTTAAATATAAGCCAAGCATGATGGCCCACGGCTTCAATCCCAGCACTTGGGAGGCAGAAGCAGGCAGATCTCTGTGACTTCAAGGCCAGCCTGGTCAAAATAGTGAGTTCCAGGACAACTTGGGCTACAGGGAGTTCCTGTCTCTAAAAAGACAAAAAAATAGATACCGATATTTTCAAGTGTGACAGAAAAATTCAAATATAATGTTACAACATATATACAAGCTGCATAAAACAAACATACAATGATTTGTTCTTTAAATTTTCTGCTAGATTATGACAAAAGTTTCAGTAAAACACCAATGATTTAGTATTTATTTTAAGTAACTGATTTTTAAAGATGCAATTATTTGTTATATTTTATTGGGATTTGTGTGGGTGTGCTTGAGTACGTATGTGTAATGTACGAGTGGAGGAGAGGGCCTTGGAATTCCAGTTCCCCTGGACCTGGAATTACAGGTTGTTGTGAGCTCCCTGATGTAGTTGTTAGGGACTGAAACTGGGTCTTCTCCAATTATGGTAAGTGCTCTTAATTGCTGAGTCACCTCTCTAGTCGATGCATGATTATTCTTGAATCCTTCTGGTGACCATTTTCCATCTATCATTTAGCACAAATTCTCATTTTTCCAATTGGAAATCAGCCATGGAAAAGATGAAGTAGCTTTTCAAAATCAATATTATTTTCAGTAAAAAATCAATAGTAGAGACTGTGAGGCTTATAATACATCTTAAAAACTATTCTATTGCATTATTCATTCATAATTAGGAAACAACCAATGAGTTATAAAATGAGTTTATGTGAATGTGATAGTGCGGGAGGCATAAAGCCACCTGTCTATGCTGCTGTGATGAAGTGAAGATAGAAAAATGCCTGTTTTACCACTGATACTGAAAATGTGATTTTGAGGACTACGAATGAATAACATGTGATGTTGTTATAACTTAGGAAAGATTAAGAAGTTTCATAGAAAGCTGAGGTGGATGCAATGAGTGACTTCATGAGGCTTTCCTAGGAGAGTTAGAGGCTCTCAGTCACAGACAGCCATGATGAGGATCCAAGGAGGGAAGGATTAGGAGAGAAAAACTACAATGCGGTATGCTGAGGGTCCTAAAGGAGAGACACACCTTGCAGATCCCAGAACATCAGCAGAGTAACACCTTCGTAGCACAGGCAGTTTGATGGTCTCTTGAAGGCAGAGAGAACCTTCAGTCCCATAAGATAAAGTGGCTGTCTGACAGGTTTCCAAGGAGATGGGAAAGTTCCATACCATGTGACCCAGCCTACAGATTGTAGGCCACAGGGCATTTTGTTTTTATTTATTTATTTATTTATTTATTTATTTATTTATTTATTTATTATTTTTGCCTGTTTTAGACAGGGTCCTCCTGTAGCCCCAGCTACCCTGGTACTTTCTAATAGCCAGGCCACAGGCTAATAGCCAGGCCAGCCTCGATCTCACAGAGACTCATCTGCCTCTGCCTACCCAGTGCTGGGATTAAAGGCATGTGCCACTTTGCCTTGTTTTAACAGTACAATTTAAAAGAAAAACTAACTCTTGATTGTTTTGGAGCTGCAAGGCAGAGGGAGAATGCTGGGCCACATTAAGCTTCATCAACTCTCTGTCCTAGAAACATTTTTCAAGAGGGCATGGCCTGATTGGAGGACAAAGACAGACTCTTGAGTGACTGTGACGTAACATAACAGGCATTCTATTTATGTAAAAAATGACATTATACTACAGGAGTTAAAGAATGATAGGTTCCAAAGATTTCTATTTTGGAATAAATTCTAACTATGCAGGGCTGAACTGGGATATTGTAAGGATTAATTTCAATCTGAATAAAATCTTACATGCACTTTAAATTTCTTTTTAAGTTAACTAATTAATTTATTACCATTTTACATGCATGCCTGCATATATGTACTTGCATCATATGTGTGAAATGCCTGCGCAAGCCAGAAGTGGAGGTTGGATGCCCTAGAACTGAAGGTACACATGGTTGTTAGCCAATATGTGGGTGCTTCGAAGCCAGCCCAAGTCTTCTGCAACAGCAGTTAGTGCTCTTAACTACTGAGCCACAGCTTGAGACCTGTTTGTTGATATTTAAATTATAACTAGTATACAACATAACGCTTAAATGAAACTATAGGGTAAATTAAAAAATTATAAATTGTACAAATATCTGTTCATATGACTATTATCTAAATATTTTTAATAACTGTACAATAGAAGAGAATTCAGAAATTACCTAAGCAATAAAGTGAATTTTAGCTTGTTCCCACTTGAACAGAAAAAGGGTTTTAATTTTGAAATGATCTTTTTTTTCTTTCCATATTTCAGTGTTTCTGAAGCCAGTTGTATTTTACAGTTTCTTAGTTTATACTCACTGTCATGAGTCTTCCTAGTTTTTTTAATTTTGAATGATCTTTTTTGTCTGTCCATATTTCAGTTTTGAAAGCCAGTTGTATTTTACAGTTTCTTAGTTTATACTCACTGTCATGAGTCTTCCTAGTAGATGAGAATACTGTGAAATTAATATGCACATCTCGATTTCAAGGATAGCAGTAAACACTGTTTCTGTTTTTCTAGAAATCTGACATTAAAGGATTAATCACATTAATAAATGTTTAAGTTTCCTAATAACGTCTCAGAAATACATGGATTACTTATATAGTTGCTCTCCACCAGTAGTACTCAGAGCACTAGCAGCAGCTCCTAGAAGCCTGGCAGGCACTGGGCATCCTAGTGTAAACTGAGACTTCATGTATCAAATTTCTGAGTGTGGGGCTCAGGCCCATGAGATGTCACCTGCTCTCCAGCAGACTCTCATGTCAGATAGGAACTGAGAACCACTGAGCTGGAGACAACATACTCCAAGCTCACTACCTCCCTCTCCCATTACCTGGAGTTCTAATGGCTCATGTCTCAGGGGATAGAAAGAAAATGGGGAGTTCTGTTCATTAAATTCAGGCTTTCATTTGCAATGATCCCACTTGCCCAAAGAAACCCTGATGCAAACCTGACCCAAGGGATGAAATACCTTTTGAAAATCTCTGACTGTAACCAGGAATTGTCAGAACTCGCTAGTCAGCCTGGAGAAATACCTACATACTAACACATGTGGCATGAGTTTTCAAATCATGAATGAAGAAAGGATTCCATGGAATTTCTGACAGCTCTATACACCCTTTAAATAATGTTTACAAAGGTAGGAATATGATTCTATGCTGTAAGGATGCCCCCCTTACTGAAAAATAAAAGAAAAACCAAGTGTGTATATTTATTTCATATAAACATGTTAAAATGAGGAATGTTTAATGAAAAAAACATATTGGTAACAATTAATGTTTTATATGTATGCATATTCTAAAACAAAGTTCCATATTTCCTGCTCTGATGGAAAACTTTCACTGTAGATGTGGCTATTCTCCCAACGGCCCTACACCCTTATATATGTGGATATGAAGTTTACATGAGAGATATGGTATGAACCTCAAGGCCCCTCACAGTTCTATTTTCTTTCAGTATTTAGAGAAAATATTGAACTTCCTTTGTGCATGGACACTTACATTGTAAAGGACTTAGGATGCTATGCATCTTGTAGAAAGGAATCTACACATATATTGAGGTAACTCACTTCCATGTCTGTATGTAAACCAGTAGAAAAATGAAAGATCAAAATATTAAATGTTCAAAATTATTTATAAACAATAGTGTTATTCATAAATTCAATGGAAAATTAAACAGAAAAAATAACTTGGAATTAGAAAATTCATTGCAAACTTTGTCTCAGTCAGTCACACAAGGTTTGCATTTTGTGTTTAGATATTTTGTTAGGAATAAATACACAATAGAAAATTATAGAAGGATAAATATGAGATTTCAGTACATAGATTAGATCCTGATATTTAAATTATTTATTTAAAAAATAGATGTTGATATTTTCAAGTGTGACAGAAAAATTCAAATACTCACCTAAATGTCCATTCTTCTACTCTGGTTCCCCTCTCCTCCTCTTCCCCCACCTCTATGTCTCATTCTCTGAGTCACCTGAATATTGGACAAAATACAGATTTTGTGTCTAAATCAAACAAGGAACTGTGAGTAGGCAATAGTGCCCAGACGTCAGGTAAGCCTCTTCACAATAAATGTGTGAGAAGGGAACATTGATTGTGCTATCCCCAGGAGGCTGACATGAGATGGAAAAATGGCTATCTCAGCTTTATGAAGCATGAGGAAGATCTGCCCTTGAGAAAGAGGATTCCACCAGACATCCTTTCTAATCTGATAAGTGACCTGGACACACGGAAACATGAGATTCCACAGGGAAAAGAAAACCATCAAAGCACAGGTAGATAGTCTTGTGTACTTGTTGCCAAGAATACAAGTGTCACTCAGAAGAGGGAGCATCAACACTGGCCTCTGATTAGCCTTCACATGCCAGGGGGCATTTTGGAGAGGGAGAGTGAATGGCCATCTCCATCCAACAAAGATATATCTGTGGATCAGGAAATACAAACTGTCTTCTCTGTTATGACAAAGGGAGAACCCTATGAATCTCATCTACTTCTGAGGTACACACTGCGGGTGTGAATACTGTCCTTCCAATGTCAACCCACTTCTCACATTTTTGCTTTATTTTCAACTGCAGATGCTTAAGAACATGAAGTGCACAACTGATAAACTACACAGATTCTCTGCCATTAGTTGTTGAACAAAACAGTGCTAATTAAAGCCATACTTTTTTTTGCTTTCTTTGTGTTTCATTTCATGTTTTTATTTTCCAGCTGCTTTCACAATTTCTATTGTCAACATGATTGTGAGAAACATAACCACAGTGAGTGGCTTCTGCCTCCTGGGGTTCTCTGACAAGAGGGAGCTGCAGATCCTATATGCTTGGCTCTTCTTGCTGATGTACCTGTTGGGCTTGGCAGGTAACTTCATCATCATCACCATCACAACGCTGGACCCACAGCTCCAATGTCCAATGTATTACTTCCTTAAACACCTTTCCCTTTTTGACCTCTCCTCCCTGTCTGCCACTGTTCCCCAGTCTATCCACAATTCCCTGACTGGCAGTGGATACATTTCCTATGCCCAGTGTGTGCTGCAGGTTTTCTTCTACATATCCTTAGGTTGTGCTTAGGTGGCCATTCTCACGGTGATGTCCTATGACCGCTATGTGGCCATCTGCCTCCCACTGCACTATGAGATCATCATGAATCCCAGAACATGCAGGTGTTCTGTGACACTTGTGTGGATAAGTGGACGGATCTCAGGATCCTTGTACACAGCAACCACATTCTCTATGAGATTCTGCAGGGCCAAAATAATCCACCAGTTCTTCTGTGATGTCCCACAGTTGCTCAAGCTCTCCTGCTCCAATGATTACCTTGGAGTGACTGGAGTGGCTGCTTTCCTGGCTGTGGTGGGAACTGCTTGCTTCACTGCCATTTGCCTCTCCTACATCCAGATATTCTCCACAGTCCTCAGGATGCCCTCTGGGGAAGGTCGGTCTAAAGTCTTCTCCACCTGTCTGCCCCACCTCTGTGTGGTCTCATTTTTTCTGTTCACAGCTGGCATTGCATATCTAAGGCCAACCTCAGGCTCTACAACTTCTCTAGATCTCATGCTCTCTATGTTTTACACAGTAGTTTCCCCAATACTCAACCCTGTAATCTACAGTCTGAGGAATGAGACCATTAAGTGGGCACTAAGGAAGTTATTTCTAGGTGGAGAATTCATTAAAAAATGATCCTTTTAATTTTGTTCTTAGTGTCTGATAACAGTAAACACAAGGGACATTTTAGTAGTTTGAATGCCTTTAATACGAATGTTAAGAATAATAGTATATCTTCTAGATAAAGTACATGATAAATTCATTGTGTAATAAAAGTTGTGCAGTTTTTCCTATATATTGAATTTATTTTTGTACTTTCAAGTTAATAAAAGATAAATAATTATAATCTATTAATACAAACACAGTACTTCCTAACCCTATCAGTTCATACAATGGTCTATGCATAGATTGCTAACAATCTTCATATGAGTTTTGAAAAAATGTTAATGGTCAATATTATAATACTAATGACAGAGTAATTATATTTGCTTATAATTCAATTCACCATGTGAATCATTAATTTAACATATAGAATTTAATTTCAAAATTTCATTTTAATTACTGTCTTTCCATATATAATATGTATTGATGCAAATATGTATGCCATTTTTTGCACATCCATATATTTTAACATTTATAGTTTTCATTCTACCTTTAATATTTAATAATA